GTGCCCCCTAGTCCCTCAGTCTCCCCTAACCCCCTAGTCCCCATAAATCCCCCCTAGTCCCCTAACCCCCTAATCTCCTGGGATTCCTGGTACAGGGATCCCCACTCCCACAGGAATCTCTCCTGGCAGCCTCTCTCCTAGGCCTGAGCTGCACCCAGGCCAGCCCAGTCCCTCAGCATCTGTAAGGAGGGGTCTGCCTCCCCTAATCTCCTGGGATTCCTGGTACAGGGATCCCCACTCCCACAGGAATCTCTCCTGGCAGCCTCTCTCCTAGGCCTGAGCTGCACCCAGGCCAGCCCAGTCCCTCAGCATCTGTAAGGAGGGGTCTGCCTGCACCTCCACCTGGAATTCGGCAGCTGGGGAAGGGATCTGTTCCCAGTCCTTGCCTAGGTCTGGAGTCCCAACCTGGCCGGACCCCATGTCCACTGGGATGAGGTCCTGAGCCCCCTGCAGGGAGCCCTCCCCTGAGTCAGGGCTGCCAGCCCCTCGCTGGCTCTGGCTACGGGTGGTGACCAGGGTCCTGTGGGGTACATCTGGCCACTCCTCTAGGTCACCCTCCCATCAGTACCTCCGTGGGCAAGTGCTGGTGCACCCCCACTTTCTTGGAGCCCTCCTTAGCCCCCCATTTCAGATGCACCCAGGCTACAGGCACCTTAAACGGGGTCCTGTCTATGCCCCTCAGGGTCAGCGGAGTGTTAGGTACCATGTGGTCGGGGGCTACTACCTAGGGCCGGACCAGCGTTACCTCCGTACCTGTGTCCCAGTAGCCCATCACCTCCCTGCCATCCATCTCCAGGGGCACGAGGCTCTCGCTCCACAGGGGCCACCCTACCCCCACCCGGTACATGGAGAAATCCGCCCCTCGAGGGTCAGATCTCCCAGGGGAGGTGCACTGAGCATCCTCCCCCACGTTCTGAGCTGAGGTTTGCCTGCTGGCCTCTGCCTCTTGGGCAACCTGCCCTTCCCCCTGCTCCAGCCAGTTAACCCTGGAAAATCCCAGGTCCTGGGACCTGTCCTGGTGCCTAGTGCACAGAGCCGTTTTGTGGCCTTTTTGACCACAGCGAAGGCAAGTTAGGTCCTGTGGGCCCTTTTGGGCCAGCTCTGCCTGGGCCCTGCCTGGTCCCATCGCTCAGCCGAGAACCGGTTTCTGTGTGATTCTCTTTCTCTCCAGGACTCCCGTTCACCCCCAGACCGGCTCTCTGTGAACTCATCTGCCAGCCTTCCAGCCTCCTGGGGGTTCTCTAGTCTTCAGTCCTTGAGCCAAGCCTCAGGGTGGGTGTGCACGCTTCACAGAACTGCTCCAGGATCATCTGCTTGAGCAGGTCCTCTGCGGTTTGGGCTCCGACCCCAAACACCATATTGCACAGGCGGGAGGCCAAATCTACATACGTCTCCCATGGCTCTTTCTGCACCCCTCCCCTGGAACTTCTTCCTGTACGTCTCGGGAGTCAGCCCTAACTTGTGCAGCAGGGCCTCTGTCACATTACTGAATTGGAGGGAAGCAGCCAGATCGCTGCTGCACCCCTAGGTGGGGGTGTTGGCCCCAGAAATTGGTATAAAAGGGAGCCATGTGGGGTATTGAATGGGAGCTTATCGTTTGTTGATCTTATGTACGCTATTTATGTGAGTATATAATGTCTATGTGTGTAGGTAGGAATCTGTAATCTGTGTGGAAGCTGAATATTTCTCTGAATGTGGTTAAGTATTGCTATGGACAGGCTGAGTAGCGAAGCCCTGTGGAACAATGGCTCTCAACGGGCTATGGACACACCCAAAGAATGGAGTTTGTCACCTAAGAGCAGCCAGCAGGGAACATAGAGATTGGCCTCTGTCCAGGTGACTTGCTGCATACAAGAAGAGGCCAGGAAGGAGGTATAAAGAGGCCATGTGGTCGATGCCATTTTGTTCTCAGCTCAGCACTTCATCCCAGAGGCAGCACTGCAGGGATCCAAGAGCCTGGAAGACCTGTGGACCCATCCTGATGCTAGGATGTGCAACAAGAACTTTTAAACCAGCAGCTGTA